GGTCACCCAGGGTCAAAAAGTTGGTGTCTAGGTCTTTTGTGTTTGTCGGTCACGTCGGGTACGTAGTCAACGGCTTGCCTGAGGAGGGGATTGTCATGTCTAGCGGCTACGTCAAATCGTTTCTCCGCGTTTTGTCTTATTGTCTGTGTAGCGTTTGTGTATTGTAAGTCTCGTAATATGTCAGTGTTTCTTACGTACCAGGGCGCGTCGGTGGCCGTGCGGAGGGCTATGTTTTCCACAGCCTGTAATGACTTTAAGTGGCTTTTTGCCGCGTGACCCCACGCCGTGGAGGCGTAGGTTAGCTGCGGTTGAAGTACCACCTTGATAAGCGTTCGCTTATTCCTTAAACTGAGGAAATCTGAACTGGAGAAAAAATATGAATTTTGTTCCATCATTTCGGACACACTGTATACCCAGCGAATTCAAGAACAATAAGAAGAACGTTCAGGTTATAACACCGCCGTCCAGGGTAGATTGAATGTACAAGATAAACCTAAGTAGAACAATAATTATCTAATTTTTATCATTCATGTTCTTCCGAGTCCGGGTAAAGAAGAGGAAGAAGAACACTAACAGTCGCCATCCAATGTTTTAATTGGGGTTAAACAACCGATACAAGTCACATCATTGTTTTGTACTTAACTTACATTTCAAAGAAAATTGTTGTAATGACTGGTGTTCGAGAAACTTCTTGTAGGCTTTGCCTTAAAATTATAGCCGACAAAAGTTTTGAAGTAATAAACAACGTTATCAGGGATATTCTTGACGTTCTTTTGCTGAAACTGGTAAGTCATTGAAAGATTACTTTCTACTATTTCAATTCGTGAACGTTATTTTGTGCCATAGTTATTGTCATTCTGGTTGATAAAAATGCATAACATTTCAGAAATTGGATGATGTGAGCAAGGACAAGGTTATATGTAGTGTTTGCAAAAGAAAATTATACGCAGCATTAGACTTCAAGTCGGCTTGTTTGAATACCGATAACATAATTATTCCATATGTGGATTGCGAAAAAATGTTACAGCTCGACTTAAGGGAAGTGTACAGGAAGGAAAAGAGAGACGAGTCAATTTCAGAGAATCAGAAAATATGTCGATTGTGTATGCAACTAGTAAAAAGTGAGTTTAGGTGCATACGTGAAGAGGAACTGGAAACTATTCAGAAATTGACTCCTGAAATGGTATGAACCATGTTAAATATATTCATTGATCACAACTTAAAAAAATTACTTTGCAGAATATAAATATCATCATAGATCCCGTTGTATGTATGGAGTGTTTGGATTCCCTGTGCACCCACAACAGTTTCTCCAGAGAATGTTTGGAAGTAGAGGAAAACTTTAAAGGTAGTTCTGATTGTCAAGCCACAGAAAGTCAAGTTGGTACATCACCATCCAATTTATTCGTTAAGACTGAAAACTTGGACCGAGAATTCGATATTAACGAGATGGAAATGTCAATCAAAGCCGATATTGTCGACATAAAATCTGAAGACGAGGAAAGAAGGTAAGGGATTACTATTTTAGCATTAAAAAAATGGCAAAATGCCTGATCGTGGTACTGGCGGGTTTTATCCAATAAAATTGGTGCATAAGTACAGTGGCGGCTCGTGGCTTTTTGAAATGGGTGGGCAAAATATTTTTTCTCGTGTAATTTAATATCGTATAGGAATAATTGCACTTTTAGTTAGTCTATTTACTTTTGAAAGTGTTAACAAACTTAATAATTATGAAAATAGTTAATCTAAATATACCTGCAAACAGTGGCGGTTTTATCATAAGAGCTGCGGAGCTGCAGAACACATAAAATTTTATGTATTTAATCATATTAAATATCAACAATCTAGGAATAAATAAATCTCCTTAATATATGCAACCTCATATACACAATGTGTGGACAGCGAACAATTATATGCGTCCTTTGTTTTTATTGGCTGATCAGGCACGTGACCCAGTACACGGAGATAGGGGCTTTTGCGGCTGCAATAGTCACAGCGCTGCAGTCTGCACTCTGTAGTAAATGCAGTAATATTTCGTACGTGGTATGTGGTGGTTTATTTCTGCGAGCGGCACGTGTGAATATTTTCGTTTAGGCATCTACGGATATTATAGTTATTAAAATGAATAGCGTTTCGTTTAAAAAAAAACTTTGGTTCTCTGCCTTATGAGGATAAACTAAAAATAAAAGAAGTAAAAGTTATAAAAAAACAATAATGTATACACAAAAGCAGAGTGGGTGTGCGGGTGTGATTTAAAATATTCACTGTTTTGTTTTCCGTGCTTACTTTTCGGTGGGGATAAAGCATGGACAATATACAGTGTGAAAGATTTAAGTCATTACGTCTTTAGGTAAAATAAACATAAGAAGTCAGTTAGATTCTGCATATTGGGATAATATACGGAAACATATGAACAGGTAATGAAAAATCGTCATGTATTATTTAAAATCATAGATTGCATAAAATTTTGCGGAGCTTTCGAATTAGCACTTCTCGGACACGACGAGACAGAAAATTCGGACAACCCTGATGTGTTTCGTGGACTCATAAATTTTAGTGTAGATCTTGACGACATTTTAAAAGAACATCTAGCCACATTGGTATGACCGGGATTTTCTGTGATTGTACCGGGAATTAGCTGTATGGTCCCGGATTTCGGATTTGCACGTATAACTCCCGGAATATAATATAATGTACATATATATAAAAAAAGATAAAGAAAAAATCATAACACGCCGAGGAAAATTAAAATTCGTTGAATCGTTGGTAAATTTCACAAACGATTTTTTTTTATAAACAATATTCAATAATTTAATAAAATATATTTAGTTTATTCCAATTTATTATACCATCAGTAGGTAATTCGTAAATGGATATTTCTAAAAGGTATCAATTTCAACAAATATAACAACCCTAAGCAGAACACATTCAATCAATGTTCATGCGCCGCCACTGCCTGCAAATTATATTAGTTATTCCAAAAGTAGGTATACTAGTTCAGCAAGAACAAACTCGTATCTATTAAAACATTGAAAATTGAATCAAAGAACATTCAACATAGGCATCATAGATATTTATCTTTTAAGTCGATTTACAAATTATTATAAGATGGTTTATTATTTCGTTTACTAAAATTTGTTTTCTAGAACACCTTTGCAGGGAAAAATTGTTCCAATGTTTAAAAATTCATTTAAAGAACAAAATTACAGCAAATAATTATACATACGTATATTTCCAACTGCTGGCACGAAGCCTCAGCGTGTACAACACTCGATGGGCATATGCTGCCAAATATTGTGATTTAGTGAACGACTTACATTTCCGATTACTTTCTAGTCATATGTACGTATTAGCAGGCAAGGGACGTCGTTGTCTAGTTCAGCGGCCACCGGCAAGCCCGAATGTTATGTTGGTTGCTGCTGAGATCATTAAATTATAAATTGTAAAATTTGGTAGCGAAAGTTTCAAAGGAGATAACACATTTTAGATTTGATTTTAAAAGAATAAGCTCAAATCATTTTTGTATATGTACCTATACTATATATTTTTTTTAATACCTCTGACATTTTCAAGGTGAGCATTGCATAAATATATCGTTAGTCTATTAATGCTTATTGTGCTGCCAAGCGGGTCCAATCAAATTAGATTTTTACGTACCAAAAGGGCCCCGCCATAATCTTATGGAAAATGGCTTTCAGCGAAATCGTCTCAATTTTTGATATGAGATAGGCCTCATCAATCTGACCAAAATTCCCAAATGCCACGATTGCATGTAAAAACATAAAATGAGAGATTTTGTTTTAGAAAAATGCACCAAACCAAAAATAGGATATCTATTATTATTATTATTCTTATAGTTCTTATTTTTGTTATTATTATCATGATACACTGAAAGAGTATATTCATTATAAATAATCAGTATAATGAAGACGCTCTCATATTAATAATTCAGACCGTTTTTCTATCTGGAATTCATATCTCATATTATGGATTGATCTAGCGGGGTTAAGCGCCCTCTAGAGGTAAAAACAGGTATTACCGGGGGTTGTGGCCATTGGGAATTTTGGTCAGATTGATAAGACCTGCCTCATATCAAAAATTGAGACGATTTCGCTGAAAGCCATTTTCCATAAGATTATGGCGGGATCCTATAGTTCAGTAAACAAAAACAGAAAAATTCCCTAGAATTGAACAAACTACTTTACCTCAGCTGAATGTTAGGGTTTCATTTTCAAAAAAAACGAAACATTCTAAACATCTGTTGTCTAAACATTTTAGAAAATAATGTTTAGACAGTTGTAGAACTTTTTATAACAAAGTTTTGATCACTGTCCGATGTCAATTGATAACCAAATGTATTAGTTATTGGAAAAAACTGCTAAAAATCGCATTTTTTTAATTCCTATATCTTTGAAACGAAAAAAGATTTTTTTACAAAACTTGCAGAGTATGTAGTCCTTGGCAAGTAGAATAAGTGCATTTTTGTAAATTTTCAAAATATTTCTTAGTTTTTGCAAAAATTTAGTTTTTCGAAAAAAAATACATTTTTTCAAGTTTCAATAAATCATACACTAATGCACTTTCGTGACCCATCAAAGGCTTAAAATTTTCTGTAAGAATTGTACTTTCCGGTGCAAATTGTGCGCGTTATGCAAAATAATTGGAAATATGCGAAAAATCTACCGAAACTTTGACTTCTTTTTTCGGGTCGAAAAATGTAGATCTTTTTCTTATCGTTAAAATTTAATCGGAATGGCACTATTGCCATTGGAGCAGGTCCGTGATTCACTACTCTCGAATGCGAATCATTCGGTTATTAGATGACTATTTGGAATTCTCTGGGAGCATGTGATCAAAGCTCTAACACTGCTCGCTGTACACCCTGAAATAATAAACCAACCTATAACCTCTTAAAATTAAAACCTTGCTTTGAGAAATATTCTGTATATGCAATTTTTTCAGCGACACGCCACTGGAGAGCTCCGATAATGAACCATTCGAGGAGAGTGTCTGTAAAGATGAAGAAGCGGATGGATGTAAGCACGAGGATAGATCGCGGAACAAATATAATATGAAAAAAAAGCAGAAGCACAGTGAATTGTACAGATGTGAAAAGTGTTGTTACGAAACTGGAAGTAAGATCCATTTTGCAGCACACTGTGCTAGATGTGGGAAGGATTCGGAAGTGTACAAGTGTGAAACGTGCGATTATAAAACTGAAAATAAGAAATTACTTCAAAGGCACCAATTGCAGCATAAATACCCTTCTCAGGTTCAAATGTACAGATGTAACGACTGCGATTACGTAACTAAATTCAGCACCGATATGAAACAACACCAATTGAAGCATAAAGATCCATCACAGGTTCAAATGTACAAGTGTAACGATTGCGATTATGAAACCAAATATAAAAGAACTATCAAACAGCACCAACTGAAGCATAAAGATCCATCACAGGTTCAAATGTACAGGTGTAATGACTGTGATTACGAAACTAATTACAAGTTCATTGTCAAAAGGCACCAATTGAAACATAAAGATCCATCACAAGTTCAAATGTACAGGTGTAACGACTGCGATTATGAAACTAAATACAGCCACCATATGAAAAAACATCAATTGAAGCATAAAGGTCCATCATTGGTTCAAATGTACAGATGTAACGACTGCGTTTACGTAACTAAATACAGCACCGATATAAAACAACACCAATTGAAGCATAAAGATCCATCACAGGTTCAAATGTACAAGTGTAACGATTGCGATTATGAAACCAAATATAAAAGAACTATCAAACAGCACCAACTGAAGCATAAAGATCCATCACAGGTTCAAATGTACAGGTGTAATGACTGTGATTACGAAACTAATTACAAGTTCATTGTCAAAAGGCACCAATTGAAACATAAAGATCCATCACAAGTTCAAATGTACAGGTGTAACGACTGCGATTATGAAACTAAATACAGCCACCATATGAAAAAACATCAATTGAAGCATAAAGGTCCATCATTGGTTCAAATGTACAGATGTAACGACTGCGTTTACGTAACTAAATACAGCACCGATATAAAACAACACCAATTGAAGCATAAAGATCCATCACAGGTTCAAATGTACAAGTGTAACGATTGCGATTATGAAACCAAATATAAAAGAACTATCAAACAGCACCAACTGAAGCATAAAGATTCATCACAGGTTCAAATGTACAGATGTAATGACTGTGATTACGAAACTAAATACAAGTTCATTATCAAAAGGCACCAACTGAAACATAAAGATCCATCACAAGTTCAAATGTACAAGTGTAACGATTGCGATTACGTAACTAAATACAGCCACCATATGAAACAGCACCAACTGAAGCATAAAGATCCATCACAGGTTCAAATGTACAAGTGTAACGATTGCGATTATGAAACCAAATATAAAAGAGCTATCAAACAGCACCAACTGAAGCATAAAAATCCATCACAGGTTCAAATGTACAGGTGTAACGACTGCGATTACGAAACTAAATACAACAACCATATGAAACAACACCAATTGAAGCATAAAGATCCATCACAGGTTCAGATGTACAGGTGTAACGACTGCGATTATGAAACTAAATTTAAGGGTAACATCAAAAAACATCAATTGACACATAAGGATCCTTCGCAGGTTCACATGTACAGGTGTAACGACTGCGATTACGAAACTAAATACAACAACAACATGAAACAACACCAATTGAAGCATAAAGATCCATCACGGGTTCAAATGTACAGGTGTAACGACTGTGATTACGAAACTAAATACAGGAGTGGTATTAAATATCACGTGTTGAAGCACAAAGAGCTTTCTTAAATGCAAATGTAGTGCTTTGTTTTGCTAATCTCTATGCATAACGAGTTTTTGATGCACAAAAATGTTTGCAGGCGTGAATTACTGCCCTTTGTGTGTCGTGCAAACTCGCTAAATGTATTTTGTACCAACTTTACTTTTGTTTAAATATTTGTTGTAGGATTTAACTTGCTGAAATTAATTCTTCCATTGTTTACGGTTTTTATTATTATGAATTAAACGTGAATTATTAATTCATAATTTAATTAATAATTAAGTTCTCTTAAAACCAGTTATTATTTTTTAAACCAAAAGATTGAGGTCTCATTGTTAATAATACGGCAAATTCATATATAAGATCATTACCTTCCATGTAAACAGCGATCTTCAAAATATATATCTCAATAGACGGATTTAAAAAAAAATAATATCCATAAATATTTGTAATTTTGAAAAATTACTCACTGGACTTAATTTACACCGTGAATTAGTCCCGCAGTTAAAATATAAGTCTACACAAATTTAATTTTCGTGAATTTCTTCATGAAATTTGGAAGTACCGTCAAAAATATCGAGGTTAAATTATTTTTACTTCTAAATAAATCGTCGTATTGTGTGATGTGATCGTGTGATGTGTGGAGTCTTGTTCTCGTTGCTCTGACAATTTTATAGTATATAATAAGTTAATAAAGTGCAAATTATGTCAATCATCATTTCACACAGTATGTGTAAAAGTAAAAGACAATTAGATTAAAGCGATAAATGATTGTGTGAATTTATGGTGGCTCTGCGATGAATGTATCTTTGTTGCAAGTGCAAAACTGAAAATATCGGAACGAGTGGACATGTTGGAAGAAAAAGTTGGTGAAATTTTATTAAAAACCAACAAAGTGTTGGAAAACATCGACACCATAAGACACCATCTTCTTGTAATTCATGGGCCATATAGTGAAGTCGAAGAGAAATAATTGTCCAAAAGTTACAATACTCCATTGTTTAAAATGGTCAGAAACTTAAGTGGCGATAATGTCGTAAAAATTATAAATTATGTATTATGTCAAAATTGGAATTATACGTCAGCGGACGTTGATGTTTTATATAATGGTTTTATATACAACATTACAGAAACTTTGAATAGAATAGCACCCCTGACAAAAATACAAATCAAACGTAACCCATGGATAAATAAAATTGTATATACGGCACAACAACAACGAGATAGAGCGTATAAAAAATTCTCGCTTACGAATTCGCTAAAGGACTGGAATGTTTATAAAAGGAAAAGAAATGAAGTTGGATCAACTATAAGGAAAGAAAAACAGAAGTTTTATGAACAAAACATAGATAAGAATAAAGGGAATAGTAAAAGGATGTGGAAAACTTTGAGGATGCTATTCCTTCTAAACATAGGGAATTTTCAGAATTCCATGCAATTTCATTGAATAAGCTCAGTAAAGTAGTAATGGGTTTGAAAAATAAATCAGCATCTGATGAACATATTACGATAAAGCTGCTTAAAGATATTTTTATGGTAGTAGGTTATCCGTTACTATATACAGGGTGACCCGTTAAGAATGGAAATGCCGTTTTTTTTTTTTAAGATAGATCTCCAAAAGCTCTATCTCGATGCAAAATTTGAAGACGAAATTTTGGTTTTCAAGGCCTACTACGATTTTTTTTTTAAGTGAAAAATAGCAAAATTTTGTTAGCGATTTTTTTATAAAAAATCTGACTACACCACTGGATTTAGGAACCCCTCAAATGCATTTGTACCAATTTTTGCGAAAAAAAAGTTTGCCCCTAAAAAAGTTATAACAATATCGGCATCACCAGTGTTTGCCGTTGTCGGTGAACCTATTTTATAAAAACCGAATAGAACCCAATGGGAAACAAAATTAAATAACAAACACAAACATTGGTTTACTAATTAGTAATTAGAATCATAAAAACCAGTATACACAAAATAAACAACAATTACTTTAATATAAACAACAATTGATAAAAAAATGATTCAAAAATTACAGTTTTTAAAATGAAAAAGGAGTCTATCAAATTGATTTACACTAATCACGTCATTAAATTTAAATTTTTGTAGCTTCCACTAATCCTCTGTTTAATTCTATACATTTCTTATAACGTATTTTTATATTTTTTACAACATTTCTAGTGCACAATACCTGCCGGTTATTTGGCCGTGTCTTATAAACTTTGGACTTAATAAAGCCCCACAGAAAAAAAACCAAGTGGGGTAAGGTCCGGAGATCGGGGTGGTTAATGAATTAATGGACTGTTTCGACCATGATTGGGGAAATTCTCATTAAGCCACTCCCTGACATGTCTCGCATTGTGATTGGACAACCATCCAACTGAAAATGTAGATTTACTCTTTCTTGTAATGGTAGATTATCGACTGCATTAAAAAATTTGTTCTGAAGGAAATGTAGAAATTGTTCGCCATTCATATTCCCTTCAAAGAAGAATGGACCAATGACGCTCTCGTTAAGTATCCCACACCAAACGTTAACTTTCTGACTATATTGTCTTCGGCAATTAATTATCCACTCTGAATTTTCCGTAACCCAACACCGCGAGTTCTGTGATACAATTCCATTCGTCGTGAATGTGGCCTCATCGTTGAATAAGATATTTTAAAAAAAAGTCGGTAATTGAGATATTGTCCCTGTGCCCAGAGACAAAACTCCATTCGTTTCTCATTATCACCTGGTTCCAGAGTGTGAAGAAACTTAGGTTTATAGGGTTTTATGTTATTTTTTTTTAAGCCGCGTCGGATACTTTCTCTAGGTAAATTTAAATCCAAACTAGCAATCCTGAGGCTATTCTGAGGATTGTTTGTAAAATAATTTATATTTGCTGCTCGTGAATACGTCTTCTCTGTTGATTGCACCTTTTTAAAATGCATTTTGATACAGCACCATATTCCATAAAAGTATTGTTTATTTTAAAAACTGTGCTATGCGTAATATTAGGTCTATCTGGATGTCTGTTGTTAAAAATTATACACACCTCTCTTGCCGTCCGATCATTTTCTCCAGAAAGGCGTACTATTTCAATTTTCTCATGTAAAGTTAAACTTTGAGCCATCGCAAAGAATTATGGAATGCACAAAAAATATTACAATGTGCCACTACTGGTCAAGTTTGGCATTTGTCGTCTAAACTATATTTCACAGCCTACCAAATTTTGTTCATATTATTTTTAAGCAACGTTATTTTCTGGATATCTCGTAATAGTTTTTTCAGAAAATTCTTCACAAAGATTTGGATTATGGTTGTAGAATCCAGTGGC